ACACCTCATTTACACTTCAAATTTATCATATAATTCGTGTCTTTTATCTCAGCGTTTAACCGCGTACTATTCGTTTTGAACAGATTCTGAGGTACCTTGGGTAGCTAGCTCGCGGTTAAATCAATACACCACTTTGTCCACTGCTCGTATGCACACACGTTTGCTTATTGGTCTCTCTCCCACGCCGTCTGCAAGTCTTTATTTCATTATCCGTAGCTTTCTTATATACACACACACACTCTCTCTCTGTCACGGTTAAAACCTGAACTATATATTCATATGCGTGCAATATCAACCCATGTATCTGACCGTCAATCGGAGCTTGCCGCAGAGAAACGCTACATTAGATAGATATGAGGTGGCTGACCACCAATCCAAATAGCGCAAGCGTCGGATTGATAGCTCTCCGTGCCTGGGTATAAATCCCAGTTGATTCAGCAGATATGCCCTCTGCCGGCGGTTCCCAACCGCCAAGTGTGTGTGTGGGGGGTGGGTGGGTGAGTGGGTGGGTGACAGTTCTACAGTGTTTCCAAGGCTTTTCTGGGATGAGTAATACGTTGAATCTGCATAACGAATACACCGTCTTAACTACAATTGGTACTTCAGTCAAATAGTAGATACATTTGGGAGTTATCCCACAAAGCGAGGGATAAACAGAACATGGAAGCAACCTTGGGGTATTGAGTTAACGGCGGTTCGAATCTACTCCCATCCGAATTGTGAAAGTTTATCACTTATCCTCTAATCGGATCGCCGGGGGGGGGGGATCAAATTTGTCAAATGTGCATTAAATCTGTACCAATTGTTTGGGCTATCTTATCGAACGGGTAATTTGTGTGTGTGTGTGTGTGTGTGTGAATGCATGCGAGAGCAGGAGAGCTCCCTCACTTGTTTACGATGACTGTTGATGTTCGCGAACTGTTAGATTACCATGTGTCAGCGCACTTTACAGTTGCACTGAAACCAAATGGCTCACCACAGGTGGATCTAACTATCGGCAGGATCAACGATTTCGGTCGCACACATGTAATCACCTGTCTGTCTGTCTATCTATCTATCTGTGCTTGTGTATGTGCGTGTGTGCATGTATGCATGCATTCTGTGCATACCATGACAGTTACACAATCACTTCTGTCGGAAAAACTATATAGGATTGCTCTGATCCGCATATCCGCTTGCTCTTTCATTTCATTTTGACCAATGCTAAGAAATATTGCCTAACTTGAAGAGACTATCGGTGCTCGTCGATCAGCGATTTTACCTTTCCAAAATGAGTGACTGGGTTGAGCAGCATAGGTGCAAAGGATACTGTGATGTGTTTCTAATCTAAATCTGTAGATAATGATATTGCGACGTTCACACGTAGTTTCTGATCCACAAACAATTCAGCTGCAAAATCGGATGTGATTATCTGGAACTAAAACACTTTGTATGAGATTTCGGTGTTCACCGGGCATGAATACATTGAAACGAACATTTCCCGGTCTCAAGTCACGGTTGCGCCAGTGAAATTGTCAAAACGATCTACCGGGTCCCGCAGATTTGGAAATCTGTCCAGTACATATAATCTGCATTAGTAAAACGACTTATATGCTAATCCCAATTACTCCATACTGATTTAATAAAAATTATCCCTCCGGTCGTCGTCATCCAATTCGATATTGACATACCGATTCAGTTTATGGACTATGAACATTGATGTTGTTAGAGAAAATGGACACCGAAGTGTAGTGTTGGAAAACATTTCGGGTTCAATATCTATCTATCTATCTACCTATCTATCTATCTATCTATCTATCTATCTATCTATCTATCTATCTATTATCTATCTATCTATCTATCTATCTATCTATCTATCTATCTATCTATCTATCTATCTATATTTTATCTATCTATCTATCTATCTATCTATCTATCTATCTATCTATCTATCTATCTATCTATTATCTATCTATCTATCTATCTATCTATCTATCTATCTATCTATCTATCTATCTATCTATTTATCAATCAGGATGGAATAGAAGGAAATGACTGCTCGGGTATCTTACGCAAGTGCCAGAGACTTCATAACAAGTCATCGAATTCGGGGCAGGATATTGTGAAATTAAGCGACCCTTATCTTGAACATTGAAAAATATCTTGATTACTCCACCTGAAAGGATTATATAAGTGGTATTTTCCGGATTTGAAAAAAACTAGGCAGTTTAAAATGAGTGTGAGTTAATTTGTTTAGCAAGGCGATCTCACTCTCGCTCTTCCTCTGTCTCCAGTGCGTTGATCTTTATTCAAGCATATTTTTTTGTTTTCATGGAGACATGCAAACTATGTTTTGCCTCAAAGCTGTCAGATCAAACTAGCTGGCTGATTGCTCGGGGAAAACGACGATAACTCAGTGCTTGTGGTCAGTTTCGAGCTGCAAGCTGCATGTCACAGTCTCGGCTCATACGCAATCCCTGTAAGAGGACTGGAGTACACAGTCCGTACAGGCTGATGAACTCTAAGGAAACTGGAAAAGAAAACACAAATTTAGTAGGTTTGAATGGAAGGGTAACTATAGATTGCACGAGCATTGTGGACGAGGAAGAAAAAGCTCGAATGATTGACTGTTTGTTCCACCTAAGAGTACAAGGTACTGTAAATACACACGCATTTATGTATGTATGTGTATTCGTACCAGGACCATAGAGGTTCAAATTGAAGCTGATATAAACAATGCATCAATCTAGAAGCCCCGTCTTTGAAAAACCTACAGAAAACTATTTAACCTAGTTCAATGCAGTTGATCTTGTACAACCCGTTTCATTTGCTTCATTCAATCCTCATCGGGTTTCAGACAACATATGAAGTTTGGTAATCGAAACAACAGTGGCAGTGTAGGACTGGACGGATGAATACATGATTTAGGAACTAAAACTCGGTTATCCGGACATACATACAAACAGAGACACCCGGGGGCGTCAACCACCAAGAGAAAATATCACCAACACAATTGCTACCACCATCACCATCTCCACTATCACTAGCATTAACAGCAACACGTTCATTCTCTCGAACAAAGCAGTTACGACTGGAGGAGGGTTAGCCGGTTCCAACACAAATCGTTGCACATGATGCGTATCCCAGATACGTGGTACACCAGTTGGAGGACGATCACTTCGACACGTAATCATCAAAACGCTGAAGTGTTTTCGATCTCATGTTCGTGCAACAGATGCGGGCGAGGGAATCGGCTTAAAAATAATGGCATACGTCTTTTCCCTGCTCTCACCTTTCTTTTAGGTTCCGTTGAAAAACAATTGAAACTTTACCTTGTTTCAGTGTGTGTTCGGGAAATTTTAAACACCACAAATTTGGGAGTTCTCAAACCGGAATGTGCGTGATATAGAAGCCGTTGAGGAAACCAGTCTCGTGGATGCGGAATTCCGTTTAGGGAGGAAAACCTACATATATATATATATGGATGAAATGTTTCATCGTGTGAGAAATCTTGTGGAAAACAAGGCGGCTGAGTGCTAAAATGTTCCGAGATGTAGATAAATTCGTAGGCTATGGTCGGAGGACTGCGACAGTGTGCGAGGGATGCAAACAGACGAGGTCGGTTCCATGTTACAAAATCCACGGTAGCAAACTGACAAAGATAATGACGAACAAGGCCGAAGGGAATGTGCTGGCTTGGCAACGGTTTAGTTATTGCAAGCAAATACGCTATTGTCAAGTGCTGCATTCGTTGGTGAAGAAGAACAGAATCCTCAAAACAGATCATTGTGTGAAGGAGTAAGGGATGGGGATGAGATCGGTTGGAGAACGCTTGGAATGTCTGGAAACTGGTTACGCTTGCATTATGAGATCTACTGGACACAATTCGGGACGACCAGGTGGGTGAGAGAGAGTGGTTTGGTTTTTATGAGAATTAAGTAGATGTTTGTATTCGATATGGATTGCACATTTCAGGGCCCCTAAATTGTACTTATTTATTTTGATATTAATATATTTAAATATATGTACATTATTATTATATTCCTTGAATACTTGATAAACATGCGAACAATTTATCCTGACGAAACCAGCAATTCATTGCACTTGTTAGGTCACTCGAAACAGGGGAAAATATGAGTTATGATCACTGGATAGTCACATCACGCGTTGGTCCTGTTTCAGACATTCCCAATCCCCATGTATCTTCCAAACCAATGATACCGTCAGTCAAAATATCAATGGTTGGATGATTGGAGCTCTAATTCCGGGTACACTTATAAATATCACCCACGTTGGATGTCCCCTTCAAAATTTCTGTATGTGCATGTGTGTGTGTGTGCGGGAGCATGCAACCAGAAAACGAGATGTTTCTCCGTTGCCTTTCCTGTTCGCCGAAACAGTTTTCTGTTGGAGGCGTTCACAATTTGTCCAACAAAGGTTTCACGTATCACCACGTGATCAGTTGTTATTTAACAGAGGTCATCTGAATGATAGATAGGTGATCTGATGGAAGCACTAAACGGTTTCCATAATTCATTTAATTCACTGGCAGTCTTTCAGTCATACTCGGAGGAGAGAGACAGTTGGAGAAATTTGAAGCGAATCAACTCGGAGGATAGTTTGAATTCAGTGTACCAAAGGAAAAGGTTCTAACTCTACGGCACAAGGGGTGATTTTCGTATTTCCTCGGAAATAAACAAATGCCACACGGCACAAATGAGAAGGATCTGAGCATCATCATTCTTGAAATCTTAAGCTGCTCACTCAACTGCGCGAACGTGTCGAACGCAGCTGTAAAGAATGTCGGTTTGCTTATTCGGGTCTTTGTCCGGTTTGAGTCAGTGCTTTTCCCCCGTCTGCTATCAGTATACATTCGTCCACTCATCGAGTACGCCATCGAGGCACGGAATCCACGGCTACAACGTGATTGCGAAATACTGGAGCGTCCACAAAAGATGGTCACCAAAATGATTAGGGGGTTGAATCGTTATTCATACGCAGAGAGACTGAATTCGTTGAAGTTACATTCCAGTCACTACCGGCACATCAGAGGAGATATGATTATGGTATACAAAATAATGCAAAACCCAAGCCATCCGTGTCGCTCGCTGCTAAAATTATCACCCAACTTTCATCTTAGAAGACATCCGTTCAAACTAATGGTCTCAAAATACCGATTGGAATGCCGGTGTCAGTCATTCGCATTCACGCTGTGTTCGATCTGGAACCCTCTTTCACCCCACATCGTCTGTGCACCAAGCACTGAATGTTTCAAACTGAGACTTGATGAAGCAGTAGCACATTCCAACAAAACTGAAGCTATAGCAATGGAAGAATCCCGTATCACGTGACATTCTTTGTATCATTGTCTTTTAACAACAACACGAACTTATGGGGCGAGGAAAGTATGAGTTTGTAAGGTAATCCCATCATAAGTCTTTCAATCTTTGAGTCATTCATTGGATGGTGCTCAGTTGTGTGGAATATGCAAGGTTAATTTTATGGATGGTGTAGTGCACTTTTCATATTACAAACAATACTTTTCAATACATCGGTGAAATCAAACACACGCAGTGGGCTTACATGATTGCGAGATTCCGACTCAAATACCACGGTCGGTATCATACTCACCTTTCGAGCTTTACAAATCGTGTTCAGCGGTTGAACTTCGTGTTTTCCGTGACTTTCATGTGTCACACTGCCCTCCGCGACGAGGCACTCACTGCACACCTGTATCTGGCACTGTACACAGAATAAATTGATCAACACGTGTGGATGCACCGGACAGGGGTCAGGTTGATTTTGACGTTTTTGTTTGGCCAGCTCCACACCTTTTGTGGCTGTGTGCAAACAGTGACGCATCAACGGGCCACGAGACGGATGACATCGTTCACGACATGGAGTACAGTAGAAAATCTCACACTGTTCACACCAAGTGGTTGCCAGTGNNNGGCACTCGCCTGAGTTCCGGTTGCGTCATTGGTTAGTGCGGTTGGATCGTCCGGTTCCTCACACAACTGACACAAAGGGCCACCCGGTCTGGATATTGGATCGGACGGGGGGAGCAGGGGGAATGTGCCAATCTCGACCGTGGGTTTTTCCTGCAACAGTTCAGGATTGACAAATTTTCCGATTACTCGTTCGAGGGCTTTGTTTCTTGGCAACTGACTCAAACCATGCTCATCTAGCAAACCAACGGTTCGGTTGCACGAGGGACAAATTAGTCCGTGAGTGATCACGTTTAAATTGATTGTCGTGGGGAGAGGAACAGTGATACTCGGAGCAGTTGCGGCAGCTAAAGTCCCTGAACTGATCGCGGACTGGCAGAGGATGGCCGGTAGACGACCTATATAACTTCCTGGCCGACTACTGACCACAACCCCGGAATCTGTTTCACTGACCACACTAAGCTGATCAGAGTCCGAGTGTG